TTCCTGTATCTCTCTCTCTCTCTCTCTCTCTCTGTCCCCTCTCCCGGTTGGCCTAGTTCTCTTCCTGCTCCTTGTCTCCCTCACTGACTGGGGAGGGTCTTGCGCCTCGGGCCGAAGTGTAAGGGCCCTGGATCCGCGCCACAGGTGCCTCCCTGGATGCTCACGAAAGCAGCCTTGGGAATGGCGGCTCCCCGAAGGCGAGGTCGGCGGGGTGGGGGTGGGGGGATCCAGGAGTGAGGGGTGCGTCGGGGGCAGTGCGTCCCCGGGACTCGGAGTTCCCTTGCTGGACGCACGCCCAAAGTGCAGGGATCTTGGTGCTGAGTCCCTCCCCCACTGAATCTCGACGCTGAAGAGCGTCCTCTTCCCTGTGCCCCCCTCACACACATACCCTACAGGCAGTGTCCCAGGCAGTACTCTCTATCTTCCCCCAAGCAGCTTCACTGGAGGGAGGAAGGGACCCTCCAAGGCTGCGTGCCCACCCGACGTCCTCCCTGATCTCTCGCGCCCCTGAGCCCTCAGACCCCTCGGCGCCCCCTCCCCCACTCGCCCCCGCGCCGCAGCCGTCGGGCTTTAGACCCAAAGAGCGCGTTCCGTAAGCTTACGGCCCAAATCCCCTCGGAAACATTAATCACGACGACCAGCGAATGCGAAATGCGGGCCCGTGTTGAGGCTGGCGCTTAATCCCGGACGTAATTCTGGAAAGCAGCCGCAGCCCAGGACTTCCTTAATCCCTCGCACGAGCAAAGGCGCTCGCTGACCTACCAGGCTGGCTTTTCCGCAGCCGCCCCGAGAGTTCGCCTCGCTGGAGGTAGGTGCGAGGACGGAAGGGCGACGGGGACGGGAACCTGCGGCGCATCGGCGCAGTGACGGGTGGGCTGGACTCACAGGCCAGGCCCGCAGTCCGGAAACCGGACGGGCTGGCGGAGAGAGTGCTGCGGTGGTTTGGCAGAGGGGCTCGCTGGGCCTGAACGCCTTTGGGGGGGGAAGATAACCCAGCTCTGTCCCTTTCGAGGTTTCGGACCCACGTGACCTAATGTGGGGACTGTGCCCTCGTTAGGGCCTAAGGAGGGGCGCCGGCCACACGGTCGACTCCGCGTTTGACCCCCTGGGGCTTATTTCTCGCACTTGAGATTTCACTGTCATGTCGTCCAATTAATCATATTTCGCTTCTCCCATTTTATTCAAAGCCTCCTTCCAGCTCCCTCATAATCGTAATTTGCGCCATTGCCTTTTATCGTTGATTAATTAGGAAGCCGAAAGTGATCATAGAGGGTCAGGCCAATAAATTAGCTTTAGGAACAGACGTACAGACGTCCGCGGTCGCTGCGTGGGTGGGCACAGCCCGAGACCGGCAGAGCCGCCGCCGCTCCGCGGCCGCGCAGCAAGGGGTTAAGAAGAGGTGCGTGGTGCCAGGGAGGGATGGGATGCGCTTGGGAAAAGCTGGGGGCGCCGGCGGCGACTTTCACCGGCGACTGGGACCGAAGCGCGGAGAGGGGTCAGCGTCCCGCTCCGGCTGCCCTCAGAGGCCTCCCCGCTGCGAGTGGATGCCTGAGCCTCACCAGTATCTGGGGCTGTTCTTCCCGAAGCCGAGACGTTAGATTCACTTGCGCGCCCTCTCTTCCCTCTATCCACTCGCCCACCGGTCTGAAAGAGGAGATGGGAGGCAGGAGAAGAGAGGCAGAGAGGCGGAGGGTCCCGTTCAGCTCAGGCCCTTAACTCCGGGCCCAGAAGGAAAGTGCCCCGCGCGCGCGGAGTCGCTCCCGGCCCTGGAAGAGGCGCTGGGCTGCCGGGTCTCCTCCTCTCTCCCTCCATGAAATCGATCGCGCCTCCAGACGGCTGAAGGGCAGCGTTTGGCCACTATTCACAGCTTCGCCCGGCCTCTTTAGTGTCCAATTGAAAGCCAATTAAAGGTTTCTATAAATCTGTTAGCGCCCCTTTTATCCGGGGACCCCGGTGCATGCGATATCGCCCTTTAGAAGCCTCTTCCGCGTTTTGTTTTACAATTGTTGTATCGATATAATGCGGCCTTTCTTCTCCTGTCTCTATAGATGCAGACACACAAGGAAAGCCACAGCCATTCAGGCTCCTCATTTGTCGGCAGCCCGACAGTGGTGCCCTTTCTCTGTGGCTGCTTCCCTGCCTCGGGAGCAGCAGTTATGGTAGAAGCAGATGGCTACTGGTTGGGGGAGCTTTGTGGCGCTAATGCTGAATACTTTATGGAAAAGGACTTTGTCATGCTTCGTTGGGCAGAGGAACAAGGGGCTGAGATTTACGGTCAGGAAAAATAAATCTTTTCCCAAGTTGTGGCTCTTTCTCACCAGTGTCTTTTTTGCCCCGGGGTCGAACATTGAAGAATTGGTGGTGTTTTATTTTATTCTCTTTTCTGCAATCAGCACTGTTGCGTCGGGATCTCAGAAGAGAGTGGACCCAGTCAGAGGTTACCAAAAAACCCCGGGGCTGTTGCCACTGTACCAGCATTCCCTGACCCTGAGGACACAAGCAGAAAGGGGTATGCCTTGAGTGCTGTTTGGGACCATGTTTTCCTGGATGTTCTGTTTGTTGCTGGGTAAAACATCATCCTCTGTTACTCCATTCTCTATAAAAAAACGAAAAGGAAGGCTAAATGCACCCATTGAAAGTCAGCAGAGGACATGGGTATTGAAGGAGGGAAGCATGGTGGGCTCTGCGAGACGTAGGTGTGCTTCCCCCCTCTGAAGGTGCTTGGCCTGAGCTGTTAAGGCAATTTGGGATGCCTGTGAACTGAAGGTTTTGGACTGAGATGAATGTCCAAGGTTTGAGGAATATACGTGGCCTCTGTTAGAGGCCTAGTCTCCATCCACTCCCTGCCCCCACACCCACATGTTCATATCTCTTCTCTTTCTTCCCTTACTTCTCTTGAGCCAGCTGTGCTCTGTGTCTATTGCTGAGACATGCCCCTTCTCCATTGCAGAGGGAAGGCCATCTCTGATGCTCCTGTCCTGGAGCCCATTCTAGACTAGATCCACCCTCCCTGAGAGTTTCCCCTCCCAAGAGCCATCACCTGAAGCTTCACAGAAAGCTCCAACATACAGAGGGCACAGGCTGACTGGCAGCCTGGGACCAAGAGATGGCGGTCAGTCCTACTTCAAACAGACTCCTTGTCTCCCTAACTCTTGCAATATCATTTTCTGTTCAATAAACATGTGTCGAGCACCTCCCACTTGCCAGGCCCTTTTCCACTTTTTTTTTTAAACCTCCTCCCTAGAAATGGAAATGGAAGGGCCAGGGGGAGAAGCATGCAGCTTCCACCAGTGTGGTCTAACTCTCTGCCACGAATCACCTCCTCCCAGCTCTCCGAGTAGTACAGCCCCACACTCACTGCCACATTCATTTTCACCTCTTATTTCTCTCTAAAGAGAAAAAAAGTGTGGAAGAAGAACTAGGATTTTAAAACATATGTTTATCCAACATTTACAAGTGGAAGGCACTGAGATCTTTAAATAATTAACTGTAGGAACTTCCTATGTGCTAGGCTGAATGTCCTGCTAGCCTTAGACCCTTAACTCTTATGCTGATACTTTGAATTAAGTGTTACAGTATTGAGGTTAAGTATTTTAACATTCCTATTTTACAGACCCTCTCCCCCCCTTGCTTTAGAGAAGCATAGAGATGCTGACTGACCCATGCAAGTGGCCTGGCTGGAACCTGAACCCAGGTTTGCCCCTGCAATACTCATAGCTACTCTACGAAGTCGATACTGTTTTTACTCTTTTACAAATGAAATAAAAATTCAGAGAGGTTAGATGGTTTGCTCAGACACAGCGAGTCTGGAGTTAAAACCCAAGTGTGTAGAAACCCAAATCTCAAGCCCCTCCCCACGGCCTCTTGGCTCTTTGGAAGGAAGCCCACTGTGGTCAGGTCCGCAGACTGTAAAGGAGGGTCCCTGGACAGTAAAACGGTGGGAGGAGGGCGGGGTGGGCGTGTTGCGCCTCCTTGGACTGCACCTCCGCGGAATGGGGGAGGGGCTCTGCTGGGCGTCCTGGGGCGCGGGCCCACTATACCCCACGAGCAGCTCGCGTGTAGGTGCCCGGGATGAGGCGTGGGCGACCTCGGGGAAGCCCACCTGCTGGAGGACGGTGTCGCTGCGGTCTCCTGGACTCAGGTGTATGATGGGCTGCCCTCTCCGCCCACCCCTGTCCTTGGCTTCTGGCCACGCGCTGGGGGAATCAGAGACGCACTCAGGAGCTTGTCCCCCATGGAGACATCCCGCCTCCGCCTCCAGCACCCTGGCCGCCCCTCGTGTGTCACGTGGCACGCGACCCAGCCCTTGGCGCTACTGCCAGGCCTAAAGAAAAGCTCTCAGATGGGCATGGGAGAGGGAGGTCCGAGCTCAGTCTGCCTGACCTTCCGCAGTAACGGATCGCGCTTCCTTAAAACAGAGAGGGGCGTGCTGGCCGGCAGAGGGGGTACTGGTCAAGAGTGGGGGGGGTGGTGTGAGGAGGTCGCTGCCTTTCCCTGTGGTCCTCAGCTGTCCAGGAATCCCTGTGCACAGCCCAGGTCCCGCGCTTCCTAGTGAGGGCGAGGGTGACATTGGCAGTCACTCGTGGCACTGCCTGCGTGTCCCTTGTGCCCCGCGTTGTCTTGCGCGCTGAATCAACCCCCCGCTGGCTTTGTGAGAAGGTTCCTCCACTGTGCTCAGGTCACCGTGGAGGGCTCAGACACTGAGCCGCGAACTGACCTCTCTGGCCGGGATTCGAACCTATGCCCTTGCCTGAGCCCGGATTGTTGGGCCTTCCCGGGTCAGCTCTCCAGACTTCTAACGGAGAGAGCGCTCGGATGAAAGCATCGCGACCACCCGATGTCCAGGACTGCAGTGAAGTCAGCCTCCCCACCCCCCAAAGCCGTCCTTCGCCGACTGCCTGGCGACGGGCTTTCCAAGGTGCGCTTGACTTAGTCCCTGGGAGTCTTCGCCCTGCTCTAGGAGGCAGCTCCTGCCAGCGTTAGCCCCGCCGGGAGACTCAGGCTGAGCTGGGTCGTGGCAGCCCCGCTAGTAAGGGCGGGGACACGGGCTTATCCCCATCCCCGCCTCAGAAGGTCAGCGACCTTGCGAGATCATGCGCAGGTGCCGGTGGAGAGTGGTGGTGGTGATGGAAGGAGTGCTGCTGTTCCCGCAGGACCTGCCTTTCCGCTCGTCGAGGGTCGCCTGGCAGGGGGCGAGTGTTGGCGCTAATTCCAAGGAGGAACAGGGAAGAGAGACCCAGACGAGCGGCGGGCGCCGGGAGCCGCGCTTCGTCCAGGGGACGCTGGAAGCGATATGAGCGCTGCCTGCCCTCAGCTCCACGCGTTCACGGTTTCCAGGAGGTCGACCTCCATCCTACCCTCAACGGTGGCTTGTCTTGTTCTGTCGGTCAGGGTTCTTCTGCACCCTTGGGGGATCGGCCCTTCGCAACACTGTGGACGGTCCCTTCTTGGGTCTCTTCCAAGAAACCCGGTGTGCCCACCCTGAAGCCTGACCCTTCGCCTGCACTGCGCTATTGGCTCTTTCGCTGTGCCTCTTATTGAGAGGTGGGCACGGGAGAAGCCAGACATCAGGAATTGTCTAGCAGGCACTTCTGTGCTTCAACACCCAAGTTTTGGGCTCAAGTTCTCAGGGAGGGGCCTTGGATGTGAAGAGCTAATTCTGTTCGCCAGGTAAGAAGTGAGACCCACAGACTCTCAATGCACTGACTTTCTAGAGTGTTTTCTCAGGGGCGCTCACTTGTCTGGAAACATTAATTTCTTAGGACCCCAGATAAGCTGACTCTAGAATGTAAGACCCTGCCATGATGAGGCATCTGAGCACGCACATAAGGTGTTAGGCGGTGAAATTACTCAGAAAGTAGTTCTTCATATTCAGGTCTCTCCTTCAACAGTAGATGCATTCCTATATACTTCACACAAACTACTTCTCAAATCCATCTTACATGTAAACATGCAGCAAGCAGCACTGGCTACTTAATGGGCATTCATCTTAGGCAACTGGCATCCCAAAGCTTGTTAGTTTTTTTAATTGCTACCTTTGACAACATTCACCTTTGCCTGAGCCCGGATTGTTGGGCCTTTCCGGGTCAGCTCTCCAGACTTCTAACCTTCTTACACACACCACACACACACACACACACACACACACACACACACAAAACCATTTCTGATCAGGTAGAAAGTTGTTCAGACTTAAATTCTAGGCCTAGGAAATCAGAACATCCTGGTCATTGTGTTTAAATGTTTATTCTGAGGAATTTTTGAATGACTTATTTGGCAATTCTAGATATTATTCTCTTTAAAAAGATGAGTTTTCCTTAAAACTTTAAAAGAGATCATGAATGATACCCTGGCTATCATATGGTATCACCGGGACTATCAAATCAGTCTGGGAAGCAGGTTTTCACTGTTATTTCCTCCACTTCAACAGGCGTGCCCAGCATTTTTACAGTGGTCATGATGTTACTATTTGTGACATGTTGGTCTCTGAATTTTTTAGAAGACCACTTCTCCAAGTATTAGCATGGAGAAAAGACTTGCATCAGTAGTTTTAAAGCGTTTTTGAAAATCTGTTAAAAGTTAAAGGCTTTTTATATCATGTTTGGGGAGAGATTCCCCACTGACACTAAATTAATACCCCTGGTTAAATCATGAGGCACCTGTGATTCATATGACTTGGAACAACGAAAGATGGTTTCACCCAAATGGTTCAGTTGGCAGTATAAGCAGGGAACAGTTTGTGAAGAAATTAAAGTGTACTTCCAAGGCTCTAACAAACACTGTGCGTCATCACTGTGGTGGCCAACAGTAGGCATCTACTCCCCAAATCTCCTCCCTCCATACTCCTTCCTTCCTTCCTTTGTTCTCTCCCTTCTTCCTCTTTCCTAACATCTTTCCTCCTTTCCTTCCCTTCTTCCTCTCTTCCTTCCCTCCTTCCTTCCTTCTTCCCTTCCTCCCTTCCTGCTTCCTTCCTTCAGCCTTCCTCCCCTCGTCCCTCCTTCCTTCTCCCTCCTTCTTTCCTCCCTCTCCCCTCCTTCCTTTCATTTCCTCCCTCCCTTTCTTTCCTCCTTCCTTATTTCTCCTTTCCTTTGCTTTCCTTATTTTCCTCCTTCCTTCCTCCCTCCCTGCCTTCCTCCTCCTTTCTTCTTTCCTCCATTCCTTTCCTCCCTCCCTCCCTTCTTCCTTCCTTCCCTTCTTCCTTCCTTTTTCCTCCCTCCCTCCCAAACTCTCTCCCTCCCTTTTCTCCTTCCTTCCTTTCCTTCCTTCCTCCTTTCCTTCTTCTCTCCTTCCTCCCTTCCTCCCTTTC